TTGCTTGGTCTTTGAAACAACGGCTGTTCCTTTCTCTCCATACACACCATACAATGCATCCCGGAATAAGGTTCCACGCAAGCCTACTATCCTCGAAATTTTCTCCTCCAGCCCGCAACACATCCTCCATACGCCTAGGCATCACCTAATCCATATGTTGGGAAGCTAGAATAGTGTTCCACAACCACCGGACACCTTCACAATGGAGGAACAAATGGTCATTCGTTTCTCCATCTCTCTTGCACATATAACACCATTCGGTAACGTAAAAACCTTTTCTACGAAGATTATCCATCGTTAATGTCTGCCCCCTCACAACCGTCCATAACAAGAAAGCAAACTTGGGGGCAGTTTACATTGCCACACCATCTTCCAAGGAAGTGAACTCTCCGTCGATTCCAATATGGATCTAAAATAAGTGCAAACTGAGAAAATACCATCCCGTGCCAACTTCCATCTGCTCCTCTCATCTTCTCCCACTTGAATATGCACCTCGTGCAAGGAGGTAAAAAATAGTGCATAATCATCCAGTTCTCAATCCTGCAAACCCCTCTCGAAGGCAATATTCAAGGTATAATTTCCATTATGTATGGCTAGGACATCATTCATCATAGCGGTAGGCTCCAAGGTAATGCGATGCAAAGAAGGAAACTGTGCCTTTAGCGGAAGATCACCACACCAACAATCATCCCAAAATCTGATACTATTACCTTTCCCTGTCACATAAGTCAATTTCTCTCGAAAGTCATTTCATCATCGTCGGATATACTTCCACAAACTTACCCCATAAGATTCACGACCCTCGATCGAGCACCAACCCCCCTCCATCACACCAAACTTCGCTCCTATGATTTGTCTCCAAAGACTTTCCTTCTCCACTCCAAATCGCCACAACCACTTGTCCAATAAAGCCTTATTAAATAAAACAAGGCTCCTCACACCAAGGCCTTCCATCCTAACAGGAGAACAAACCACACCCCAGTTAACCAAATGAAATTTCCTCTCTTCCCCTAGCTCTACCCAAAGAAATTCCCTTTGAATCCTCTCTAATCTGTTTGCTACTGTACTAGGGATAGGAAACAGTGACAAGAAATAAGTCGGGAGATTGGATAGAATAGATTTAATAAGAGTAAGACGACCTCCCTTCGAAAGGTACATGCGCTTTCACCCCGCTAACCTCTTCTCCACCCTTTCAACAACTCTATTCCAGATATGTTTACTTTTAAACCTTGCCCCTAAGGGAAGCCCAAGGTATGACATAGGCAACTGCGCAACCCTACAACCCAATGTATCGGCCAACTCATCCATGTTAGCAACCTCTCCCATTGGAATGACCTCGGATTTCCTTAAATTAATCTTCAATCCCGACACCGCTTCAAAACATAGAAGTAGCCGGCGCAAGCTCTTGAACTACTCATTAGCTGCATCGTAGAGGATCAGTGTATCATGTGCAAATAGCAAATGGGAAACCTGTTAGTGTCCAACCGTAAAGCCCCTTAGCAATCCTTCTTCCACAGCTCTCTCAAGCATCTTACTAATTGCCTCCATAACAATCACAAACAGCAACGGAGACAGGAGATCCCCTTGCCTCAAACCTCTACTACTTAGAAAATGACCCTCCGGGTTGCCATTGACTAAAACAGAGAATGAAACGGTGGAGATACAAAATTGAATCCACTTGCACCACTTTTCCCCAAAGCCACATCGCTCGAGCATGTCCAGAAGGAACCCCCAGTTCACGTGATCATAAGCCTTCTGAATATCAAGTTTACGTAACATTCCTGGCACCCCCAGACGCAATCGAGAGTCGACGCATTCATTCGCTATAAGCACAGAATCCAAAATCTGTCTTCCTTTCACAAAAGCATTCTGACTCTTAGTCACCACTTTCCGAGCACCTCCTTCAATATGTTCGTCAAGATCTTCGCGATAATCTTGTACATCCCACTAACTAAGCTAATAGGGCGAAAATCCTTAATGTCAACTGCTCTCGGTTTCTTTGGAATCAGCACAATAAATGTGGCATTAGAACTTCTCAGAACCTGCCGTACTAAAAAAAATAAGTGATAAAATCTATAATGTTCGGTCCCACCACCTCCTGACAAGCCTTATAAAATACGAATGAGAAGCCATCCAGTCCTGGTGCCTTATCTTCATTCATACTGAAAACCACATCCTTGATTTCATCTTCTGCAAATGGTCTTTCTAACCAGCTGGCATCCTCCTCCGTGATAGATGAAAAGTACAGTCCATCCACCTTTGGTCTCCAGCCAAACTCTTCCCGATAGAGATTTTGATAAAATTTCACCATCTGATTCCCAATATTCTGCGCATCCTCATAAGTAATCCCATCAACCTCCAATAGGGTGATAGAGTTGTTGCGCATGTTAGAATTAGCGACTTTATGGAAGAATTTGGTGCATATGTCCCCCTCTTTCAACCATGTAACCCTAGATTTCTGGCGCCAGGCAATCTCCTCCATCTCCACCAGTCTCTCCAACTCTCCCCTTAGTACTCCACGTCTCTCCCTATCCTCTCCATCCAATCCTAGACCTTCCTCACGCCTATCCAGTTCTTCAATTTCTAGGGTGCATTGATTTTTACGCCAATTAACATGACCCACCACCTCTTCATTCTACCTTTTGAGATCCCTCTTCAATGCTTTTAATTTTTTATCCAACACATAACTGGGAGACCCAATGAATTCATAAGATGTCCACCAATCCCTAACTCGATCCCTAAAGCCATCTACTTTAAGCCACATCTTCTCAAATCTAAAAGGCCTTCTTCTACTACACCTCACATCCCCTGATAACAAAATAGGGAGATGATCAGAATACATCCTCCCCAATCTCCTCTAAGTGACCTCTGGATATTTGGCCTCCCACTCCCCACTAATCAAGAAGCGATCTATTCGAGATAACACAGGTTGATCCCGATTAGATGGCCATGTGAAGTCTCCTCCAATCAAAGGCATGTCAATCAACATATTTTCCCTTATAAAATTTGGGAAATTTTCCATTGCCCCAGTTAGTCTCCCGCTGCTAGACCTCTCTGTAGGAAATCGAACCACATTAAAATCACCCCCAATGCACGTTGGAATGTTCCACCGGGCCATCATCCCGCCCAACTCATCCCACAATCCACTTCTACTCTCATCAACATTAGGACCGTAAACTCCTGTAAATGTCAAACAACCAACTTATTGCTAAAGGTTATACATAGACCCATGGTATTGATTATGTGAGACATCTCCCGTCGCTAAGATCTCTTCTATTCATGTTTTGATTTCTATTACTGCTAATCTTGGTTGGCCACTATTTCAGTTAGATATTAAAAATGCATTCCTTCATGGTAACTTGCGCGAAGAGGTTTATATGGAGTAACCACTTGGGTTTATTGCTTAGGCGGAGTATCGGAAATATGTTTGTAAATTGAAAAAGGCTTTGTCTGGGTTAAAGTAATCACCAAGGGCATGGTTTGGGAAGTTTTCTGAAGCTGTTCTGGAATTTAGACTTCAGAAATGTCAAACAGATCAATCGGTATTTCATCTACAAATTAGCACAGATTATGTTATCCTTGTAATCTATGTAATCACTGGTGATGATGTAGAAGGGATTAATCGGTTTAAACAATTTCTACAACAACATTTCCATACTAAATATATAGGCAAACTTCGATATTTCTTGGGTATTGAAGTCGCTAGATCTCGAGCAGGTATCAACTTATCTCAAAGAAAATATGTAATTGACCTGTTAGACGAGACTAATTTTTTTGGAGCTCAATTGGTTGATACTTCTATGAATCCTAATATGAAGCTTTTGAAGGATGAAAGAGGACCGTTTGGAGAACTAGGTAATTATCGTTGTTTGGTTGGAAAATTAAATTGTCTTACCATCAGACTAGTTATTTTCTATGCACTTAGTGTCATCAGTCAGCTCTTGGATGCTCCTCGAATTCTTCATTGGGAAGCTGTGATGCGTATTATTCAGTATTTGAAAAAGGTTCCAGATCTCGGGTTATTATACAAACCAAATGGACATATCAGAGTAGAAGGTTTTATAGATGCAGACTGGACAGGTTCTCCTTCAGATAGGCGGTCTACTACTGATTTTTGTACTTTTCTTGGTAATAATCTTGTTTCTTGGAAATCCAAGAAACAAACTGTTGTAGCAAGGCCAAGTGAAGCAGAGTATAGGGCGATGGCTCATACCACTAGTAAGTTGACATGGTTACAAGACTTTCTTCAAGAAATCAATCTTTTGCGTTCTACACCTATTCCGATGTACTGTGATAATCAAGTTGCTCTGCATATTGCATTCAATGCAGTCTTTTATGAGAGGACTAAACACATTGAAATTGATTATCACTTTGTTCGAGACAAAATAGTAAGTGGTAATAAATGTACATCATTTGTGAAGACCAAATACCAGTTTGCTGATATGTTTACAAAGTTACTAAACGCTAATCGGTTGAGATTTATTTGTTCCGAGTTAGGCTTATATGATATATATGCTCCAACTTGAAGGAGAGTGTTAAGGAAGTAAATTAGTGAGGAATCACATATATTAGGCAATAAGATATTGAGTTTCCGCATTGTATTGAGTTCCTATAAATTGTAATACTAACTTTAGTTTTTATAATGAAAAATAGAAGAGAGGAAAACATTGAACTGATTCTCTCAGTTAACCACCAGTTTCTCAATATTTCTCAATAATTTGTATTTTGTTTGTATTTATTCTTTTGTATTCTGAGTTGATTAGTTAGTGACTATTAGATAAGGTTAATTTCCAAATATCTTAACGAAGAATCTAGTTTGTCAGCTAGAAAATAGTTAGGGTACCTGTACTATCTAACCAATTGACAGATGAAAATTTGCAGAATTTTCTTCTCAATTTCATCGCTGTTTACACTTATACCTCTTTGTGGTAGTGCAGTGGACTTCTCGTGGGCCCCTGCTGGAGCTTCTTTTAAGAAATTTATACTTTTTCTCAAATGTAATGCCGGACAAAATTGAGGGAACAATTGGCTGTGAGCTGCAGGTGAACTACAACAACATTGAGAAGGTAATGCTACAGTCTTCACAAACATTGGGATACTATTTTCCAGACCTTGGTTTTTAAATAGGAATTCATTTTTCCCCGTGCAAATGTTATAGGTCTTGTGGGAGCCTTTTGTAGAACCTTGGAAAGTTCTGTCGAGCATGAGCAGAAAGCATGACGAGAGTGCCCTTTTGAATAGTGCAATGATGACAGACATTCACCTTGAATCTACAGCACAGCTCAACTTGAATATTACTGAGTCCCTTGTTGAGGTATTACATGTTTGGTAATCTTATCCTAAGAGGAATTTAAATCAGTGTAATCTGATTTTCTGTTTAAGTGGATTCTTGGGGTTTGAAATGAATTGGTGCACAAATTTACTATGTTGACTAGGTCAGCTGCAAATGAAATAGTTACTCAGATTGTCTTTTATGCCCTTTTCATATTTTCTAGTTTCATTATCACTTAATTTAAATTTTCATATTTTGTCTTACAATATAATCATATGTTTAACATCTTAGCTTGTGTGTTCTTTTTTTTGATGATGCCTTTTCTTGCTCAGCAACTTGTTTGATAACAAATGTTGTAGAAAAGTTATGTACCATCCGAATTTTATGTACCGTGCAGGTTGCTGTGAACCTGCACCTGATTCAATGCTGTCCATTGTGTCATTATGACTTCTAAAGTGTTTTGCTACATTGAATTTCTTTTAGCCAAATACTGGGTAAATTTATCCTTTTAAAGTATGCATTTTACGTGTAACGAATATTTTCCTGAAGATAAGAGCTATGCATCATGTATTGCCTAAGAGTTCATTATTGAGTAATGATACCAGTGAATAATGTCATGCTGGTGCATTTGTATTGCTGCCTTTTTCTGCTGCAGTAAAATTTTACACTTCATTGCCAAAACGTTCATATCACTGATGATCTGTCTTTTTCGCTTAAGAAAGGTTGTTTTGAGGGCAATTGAGATGATCAAGGATGCATGGGGCTTTATGGGCATGACAGAAAGTTCTAAGTTCTTAAATTCTCGGATTAGAGAAAATCTAGAAACCGGAAGATATGCTCCATATATACTACAGAACTTGACTGCTCTGCCTCTTGTATATAATGTCTGCCAAGGGCAAGTCAGGGCTGATGATATGGATTTGTCTCAGTCAAAATGTCTTCTGCAGCCTGGGTCTTCTACTCCAGTTTATGTCAATGAATCTCCTGAGGAACAGCTTTTCCGCTATAG